GATAGAAAGAACCAGTAGCAAAAACATCCATAATTTTTATCTATCTCCTTCTCAGGGAGAAGGAGAGAGAGAGAGAGAGAGAGAGAGAGAGAGAGAGAGAGAGAGAGAGAGAGAGAGAGACAGAGAGAGATAACAGAACACTTTCAGCAGGCAGAGAAACCAGTACTCATGCAATCATCTGAGTCATAACCTATCCCATAGCCTCCTGGTGGTGAAGGAGCGTATTCCGGTCCTGAGTCATCACTGGACTCACTTTCCTTGAGCATTGATCCGTTTGAGCTTGAAGATGAGTAGGATTGATTGAAAAACCTAGTAAAGTCCACAGGAGGACGGATGAACGGGTTGATTGGCATCTGCTGAGGAGGCGATGGAGAAGCAGGAACCTCTTGTGGCAGTGGCGCAAGAGCTGGTAGACTTGGTGGAAACTTCGGAAGGGGCTCTGGTGGTGGTGGAGGTTGGTAGAACCCTTCGAAACCAGGAGGGGGTAGAGCCGGTCCAAATGTCAGTTGTTTCAAGTAATGGAGATATTCTGAATTTCCCATATTCAGAATTTCAGCATACAGATCAGGTCGAACAACTGGTGAGAACTTCATAAATGGAGGCTCAGACCCTTCCACCTTGTCTTGTTCTGTTGACGGTTTCTTGTCACCATCGTCTTCTTAATATATAAAGCCAGGTTCACGTGGTGATGATTCTAGTACTGCTTGAATTTGTAGCGACTCCGGTTCATGCTCCTTTTCTTCTGATATTAAAATAAGAGGATTATTTGGGGTCTCTCTCTCTTTTCTACGTACGTCCGTTCGTATTGCCCTTCGGGGTTGTTTGAGAACCTTCTCCCAAGTTCTCTGAGTTGGCTTCCTCATCTCGTTTCCCTGTGATTCGTTGGACACCATCTTGTACCTGCAAAAAAGTTCAAACAAACAAAATCTTCCACAAGATATATTGCTCGGCTGTCTCCTAATATATAGGGCGGTCAGGGAAGACTATCGGTTCACTTGCCGATGGGGAGTTAATTTTTCTGGCCGTGGTTTGAGATTTACGGGATGTGACAGATAGCGGCAAGGCTTCTCATTGGTCGAGATGGCGGTGGATGGGAAGAGATTTGATGGGCAACGGTTTAGAGGGGAGAGTTTAATGAGGGGTTAGGTTTTAATTGCTATGCGGGAGACGATTGATATTATTTAGCTGAGAGGAGGTATGCGGGTGCCGATTTGAGAGAGAGAGAGTGAATCAGTTTGGAAAGATTTGATCTAGGAGAGGATTATGGGGGGAGGTTTAGGTTGGGTGGAGGTTTAGAAAGGGTAGGAGTTTATGGGTGGAGGTTTGATACCTAATTAAACTCTGATTTTCCTCCTTTATCTCCTGATTTCCTTCTCAAAAACGTGTACCACAAATATAATCACACTCAAACATCTCATTAGTAGCAAAAATCAACCATAAATAATCAATCACACATAACAATATACATTAAACATATATACGGCAATTTCCAATCAAATTAAACACATTTTGGAAATTAACAAAATTAACACATATATTCCAAATTTATATTTAGAAACATCCTTATATAATTAGCACACAAATCAAATTCTAAAATATTTTAGAAACTAACAAATATTTAACTTTCAGCTCAGATTTCTAAAACATTTTTATAGCAAATTTTATCACATAGACCACATATGCACAAAACACATATGCAATAAACACATTAAGAATTTATTTTTTTTAAACAAATTGTTCATGCAAACAAATTATTTAAATTATACAAACATGAACAAATACTTGTAGACTAAATAACACATTAAAACATGCAATTTTAAACAAATTGTCAAATAATCACGAATTGCATATTTCATCAAATTAATTTGCATGGCACATAATTTCACGTTAAATAACACATGCAAATACATAATTAAAATCCTAACACATATTTCAATTTTATTATGCAAAAATTTCGAATAAAAACATGCATATAAACATGTAAAACAATTTATTCACGTAAAACAATTTATTTTGAGCACAAGTATCAATTTAAATTGAGAGATTAAGTCCAGTGATACTTAGCTCATTTCAATCATTCCCAACTCGTGCCTTAAGGTAGAAAATCTCGTTTCGCATAAAGGCTTTGTGAGAATATCAGCAACTTGGTTTTCCGTAGGGATATATTCGATCTTTAGATTTTTCTTTTCAACATGATCCCTTATGAAGTGATGTCGAATGTCGATATGTTTGGTTCTTGAGTGAATCACCGGATTGTGAGTGATAGCGATTGCACTAGTATTATCACAATAAATACTAACGTCATCACAATTAACTCCGTAATCCTTCAATTGTTGCTTCATCCACAAAATTTGCGCACAACAACTTCCTGCAGCAATATATTCGGCCTCGGCGGTACTAGTTGCGATGGAATTTTGCTTTTTGCTGAACCAAGAAACAAGCCTTCCCCCAAGAACTGGCATGTCCCGGAAGTGCTTTTTCTGTCTATTTTGCAACCTGCAAAATCCGCATCTGAAAAACCCGTTAGAGTAAAATCTGTACCTTTTGGATACCACAGTCCAACATTGATTGTGCCTTTCAGATATCGTATGATCTTCTTTTTTGAGGTGAGGTGGCTTTCTTTTGGATTTGCTTGGAATCTTGCACACACTCCCACAGCATAAGAAATGTCTGGCCTGCTTGCAGTAAGATATAGAAGAGAACCAATCCTTCTGTTTGATCGACATCCTTTCCATCTTCATCTTTGTCAAGCCTTAATGATGTGCTCATTGGAATTTTGATCGATGATTTTCCATCAAGGCCAAACTTTTTTATCAAGTCGCGGGTGTACTTTGCTTGATTGATGAATATTCCTTCTTTCAATTGTTTGACTTGTAAGCCCAAGAAGTAATTTAATTCACCCATCATGCTCATTTCAAATTTATTCTGCATAAGCTTCGAAAATTTCTCACACAAAGAATTGTTAGTGCTTCCAAAAATAATATCATCAACATTGATTTGCACTAATAAAATATGATCACCATCTTGAATTCTAAATAGAGTTTTGTCAACAAGGCCTTTGGTGAATCCACAGCTTATCAAGAACATTGACAAAGTATCATACCAAGCTCGAGGTGCTTGTTTCAACCCATACAATGCCTTTTTAAGTTTGTAGACTTTATCACCTTCGCCTTTTACCTCAAAACCTGGCGGTTGTTCGACATAAACTTCTTCTTCGAGTAGACCATTCAAGAATGCGCTTTTCACGTCCATTTGATAAACAGTGAAATCTTTGTGTGCGGCGTAGGCTAGGAAAATTCTGATTGCTTCAAGTCGAGCTACTAGTGCAAAAGTTTCATCAAAATCTATTCCTTCTTCTTGAGAGTATCCTTTTGCAACCAGCCTTGCTTTATTCCTAACAATCACGCCTTCTTCGTTTGCTTTGTTTCGGAAGACCCATTTGGTTCCTACAACATTGTGGTTCGCCGGTCTTGGAACAAGTTCCCAAACATCATTTCGTTTGAATTGATCGAGCTCTTCTTGCATAGCATTTATCCGATTCGGATCATTTAGAGCTTCGCCAACTTCTTTTGTTTCAATTTGAGATAGATAACACGTGAACAATGCTTCCATGGTAGATGATCTTGTTTTCACGCCTTCATGAATATTCCCAATAATTAATTCTGGAGGGTGATTTTTGAGCCATCTTAAATCTAGTTCAAATGGGTGCATGGTACTGGGTGGATCCATTTGTTGTGTACTGGCAGAGTTGGTTCGAATTTCCTCATTTAATTCTTCTTGAAATTGATTACCAACTTCACCAGTAACTTGATCACTAACTGGATCACCAATTTTAACCCGTACTGCATCTCCATTTTCACGTGTGGCATCACCTCCAAAATTATTATTAAATGGGTTTCCAACTTCTTCTGGATGAGGGATAGGATTTTCTAGAGAATTAATTTCCAACTCATCCATTCCCTGCAAAACATCATCTTCACACGTATCATTAGTATCACAAAAATCAATATGACACTTGTTACCATTTTGTTCGAATTCTTCGCCCAGAGCGCCATTATTGATCTGTGATTTTTCATCAAACACCACGTGTATGGATTCTGTTGGGATTGAGCTTCCCTCCTTTGTGGTAAATAGCTCAATTTGGACCAAGCCAATTTATATTCACTATAATATTTGATAGCTTCTTGAGGAAGTGTTTCTGACAATTATTTAATTGTCATGGGAGAATGGGATATGGGTAGAAGTTGAAGGGTGGAAGTTGGAGAAAAGGAGTTTGGGTTGAAGTTGATGGGATGAGGTTTGAAGATAATTTCCCTTCACTTGCTTTCTTCCCCCTTTTCCCCTCTTATGTCGGCATAACCTATCTATAAAAAGGGGATGATGTGCTCATTCTTCAAGTGAGAGAGTTCCACACAACTTCTACAAATTTCCACAACATTCTACATACACATTCGGCAAGTTTGAAAGAGGAAGAAGAAAAATTAATTTTTCTTATCTCTTTATGTTCGACAGTGCATCCATCTTCATCTTCTTTGGATACAAATCGCCGTGAGTTTGCCGAACTGCTTGGGTATTATCTTCATCGAATATTTTGAGGTTAGCTTGTATTTATTCCAGGCATCTTTTGGTTAATCTCGTAATATTTGTATTCTGTTCACCTTGCTCGTGGTGGTTGAATATTTTGGGTACGAGATATTATTCCTTTAGCCTGAGAATTAGAATATATGTATTTGGCCTAGTGTTGGTGTATTTGATGATTTTGGATGTTTGGCTCGTGTGGTAGCCAGGAAGTTTGTACCCAAGATTTATTATAGTGGAATATTTGGTGGTGGTGGTCCCGTGGTTTTTCCCTGATTTGGGGTTTTCCACGTAAATCTTGTGTCCCTTGTATCTGTTATTTATTTTTGGCTATTTCGTACCATCTTGTATTTGCGCTCTTGTCGGTCCTGTGATTTTATTTGTCACAGGTAGTGGGATTTTTCCCAACAAAGTGGTATTAGAGCCCTGGTTGTTGATCGGGTATATTTGACATGGAGGCAAATACGATAAATATGGTGCGATTGAACGGTAGAAATTTTCTCATCTGGAAGGCCAAGATGAAGGATCTCCTGTTTGTGAAGAAACTACATCTACCTGTGTTTGTAACTGCAAGGCCAGAAAATATGTCAGATGAGGAATGGGACCTTGAGCACCAACTAGTGTGTGGTTATATTCGACAATGGGTCGAAGACAATGTTCTGAATCACATTGTCAATGAGACACATGTCAGGAGCCTGTGGGATAAGCTTGAGACCCTGTATGCTTCCAAGACAGGCAACAACAAGGTGTTCTTGTTAAAGTAGATGATGAATCTGAGATACAGGGAAGGTACATTGATTAATGATCATGTCAATGATTTTCAGGGTTTTCTTGATCAGTTGTCTAGCATGGGCATCAAATTTGAGGATGAGGTACTTCGTCTCTGGTTGCTTAATACTCTACCTGATTCTTGGGAAACATTTCGGGTTTCTTTGACCAACTCTGCTCCCAACGGTGTTGTGACCATGGAGAATGTCAAGAGTGGTATCTTGAATGAAGAGTCAAGAAGAAGATCTCAAGACACCTCCACTTCTCAGTCAGATATTTTGGTTACAGACGATAGGGGGAGAAACAAGCAAAGGGGTCAGAAGGGTAAATATAAAAGCAGAAGCAAGTCAAGGTCAAGGCACAAGGATCTTAAATGTTATCATTGTGGCAAGAAGGGTCACATCAAGAAAAATTGCTTCAAGTTGAAAAGGGACCAAAAGCAAGACAAGAAAGATGATCACACAGAGAACCGGGTTGCAACGGTTAGAGCAGATTTACTTCTTGCTTGTGATGAGAACACCGTCAACGTTGCATGCAATGAGACAACTTGGATTGTGGATTCAGGCGCATCTTACCATGTTACACCAAGGAAGGAATTCTTCACTTCATATACTCCAGGCGACTTTGGAGAGCTAAGAATGGGTGATGATGGTCAGGTGAAGGTGATTGGTACCGGTACAGTTTGTCTTGAAACAAGTAATGGCACAAAGCTGGAACTTAAAAATGTAAAGCATGCACCGGGTATCAGACTGAATCTCATTTCTACAGGAAAACTCGATGATGATGGTTTATGTTGTTTCTTTGGTGATGGACATTGGAAAATCACTAAAGGTTCGCTGGTTATTGCACGAGGTAACAAGTCTTCTAACTTGTACTCTTTGCAAAGCTCTATTTCTGGTGATTCAGTGAATGTGGCAGCAAAAGAATGTGCATCAGAATTGTGGCATAAACGACTTGGCCACATGAGTGTGAAGGGGATTGATTACCTTGCCAAGAATAATAAGCTTTCAGGGGTAAAGGAAGTTAGATTGGACAGATGTGTTCATTGCCTGGCGGGGAAACAGAAAAGAGTTTCTTTTATGAGCAATTCTCCTTCAAAGAAGCCGGAGCCACTTGAGTTGATACATTCTGATGTGTGTGGACCAATGAAGGTTAGATCACTTGGAGGTGCATCTTACTTTGTGACCTTCATTGATGATTATTCTAGGAAACTCTGGGTTTACACTTTGAAGCACAAAAGTGATGTGCTTGGTGTGTTTAAAGAGTTCCATGCCCTTGTTGAGAGACAGACATGGAAGAAATTGAAGTGCATCCGTACTGATAATGGCGGTGAGTACCGTGGCCCATTTGATGAGTATTGCATAATGCACGGCATTAGACATCAGAAAACTCCTCCTAAAACTCCTCAATTAAATGGCTTAGCAGAGAGGACGAACCGGACAATTATGGAGAGAGTCAGATGTATGCTTGATGACGCAAAGTTGCCTAGTTCCTTTTGGGCAGAGGCAGTTTCCACGGCTGTTAATGTTATCAACTTATCTCCCGTTATAGCGTTGAACAATGAAGTTCCTGATAAGGTTTGGTGTGGAAAGGAAGTTTCTTATGATCACCTCAGAGTCTTCGGTTGCAAGGCGTTTGTGCATGTCCCAAGAGATGAGAGATATAAGTTGGACTCGAAGACTAGACAGTGCATTTTCATTGGTTATGGTCTTGATGAATTTGGCTACAAGCTATACGATCCAGTTGAGAAGAGGCTTGTGAGAAGCCGTGATGTAGTGTTCTTTGAAGATCAAACCATTGAAGATGTTGACAAAGTAAGAAAGCCAGAATCTCAAGACGGCGGAAGTTTGGTTGATTGTGAGCCAGTTTCCAGCAGAGATACACGTGATGTTGATGAGATTCAAGAGAATGGGCAGAATGGTGATCTTGTACCAGACCAGCAGGATGATACAACTGATGTGGATGGTCATGTTGATGATGTTGTGCACCAGGAACAAGAAGTTCCTTCGCAGGTTCCAGTTGATCCTCCTAGAAGGTCTAACAGGGAACGAAGGTCATCTACTCGTTACTCTTCCAGTCAATATGTGTTCTTGACTGATGGGGGAGAACCTGAGTTCTATGAAGAAGCTATGGAGAGTGAGCAAAAGAGACAATGGCTTGAGGCTATGCAGGATGAGATGAACTCCCTATATGCAAATGATACCTTTGAGTTGGTGAAGGCACCAAAGAACAGGAAAGCTTTGAAGAACAGGTGGGTCTACAGATTGAAATATGAAGAGGGCACTTCAGTTCCACGATTCAAAGCTCGACTGGTGGTGAAAGGTTTTAGCCAGAAGAAAGGTATTGATTTTGATGAAATTTTCTCTCCTGTTGTGAAATTTTCATCCATTAGAGTTGTGTTGGGTCTAGCAGCCCGTTTGGACTTAGAAATTGAGCAGATGGATGTAAAGACAACTTTTCTCCATGGTGATTTGGATGAGGAGATATATATGGAGCAGCCTGAGGGTTTCAAAGTCAAAGGGAAAGAGGATTATGTTTGCAGGTTAAAGAAGAGTTTGTATAGATTGAAGCAAGCTCCGAGGCAGTGGTATAAAAAGTTTACTTCCGTTATGAGTAAGCATGGATACAAGAAGACTTCTTCAGACCACTGTGTTTTTGTAAACCGATTCTCAGATGATGACTTTGTTATATTGTTGCTCTATGTTGAGGATATGCTGATTGTTGGTCGCAATGTTTCAAGAATTCAACAGTTGAAACAAGAGTTGAGTAAGTCCTTTTCTATGAAGGACATGGGACCAGCAAAGCAGATTCTTGGGATGAAGATCATCCGTGACAGGCAAAATAAGAAACTATGGTTATCTCAAGAGAAGTACATAGAGAAAGTACTTGAGAGATTCAATATGGATGAAGCTAAGCCAGTGAATACACCTCTTGGTATGCATTTCAAGTTGAGCAAGAAGTAATGTGCTTCTAGTGAGAAAGAGAAGGAAGAAATGCAAAGAGTTCCTTATTCTTCAGCCGTTGGTAGTTTGATGTATGCGATGGTATGCACGAGACCAGATATTGCTCATGCAGTAGATGTTGTTAGCTGATTTCTTTCAAATCCAGGGAAAGAATATTGGGATGCTGTTAAGTGGATTCTGAGATATCTTCGGGGTACTTCAAGTCTGAGTTTGTGTTTTGGTACAGAGAAACCTATTCTCACCGGATACACTGATTCAGATATGGCTGGAGACGTTGATACGAGAAAGTCCACTTCAGGCTATCTGATTACCTATGCAGGGGGAGCAGTTTCATGGCAATCAAGATTGCAAAAGTGCGTTGCTTTGTCTAACACTGAAGCTGAGTTCATAGCATCTGTTGAGGCCAGTAAAGAAATGCTATGGATGAAGAAGTTTGTTCAGGAACTCGGGTTTGTTCAAGACAAGTATGTGCTCTATTTTGATAGTCAGAGTGCAGTTCATCTTGCAAAGAACTCCACGTTCCATTACAGGTCAAAACATATTGACACAACATATCATTGGATTAGAGATATCTTGGAATGCAAGATGCTTGAACTTGAAAAGATTCATACCGATGATAATGGGTCTGACATGATGACTAAATCATTGCCAAGAGGAAAGTTTGAGGTGTGTTGTTCTATAGCCGGGATGGCGATATCCTCCACATAGTCGGGAGGGGGAGATTTGTTGGGATTGAGCTTCCCTCCTATGTGGTAAATAGCTCAATTTGGACCAAGCCAATTTATATTCACTATAATATTTGATAGCTTCTTGAGGAAGTGTTTCTGACAATTATTTAATTGTCATGGAAGAATGGGATATGGGTAGAAGTTGAAGGGTGGAAGTTGGAGAAAATGAGTTTGGGTTGAAGTTGATGGGATGAGGTTTGAAGATAATTTCCCTTCACTTGCTTTCTTCCCCCTTTTCCCCTCTTATGTCGGCAGAACCTATCTATAAAAAGGGGATGCTGTGCTCATTCTTCAAGTGAGAGAATTCCACACAACTTCTACAAATTTCCAAAATATTCTACATACACATTCGGCAGGTTTGAAAGAGGAAGAAGAAAAATTAATTTTCTTATCTCTTTATGTTCGGCAGTGCATCCATCTTCATCTTCTTTGGATACAAATCGCCGTGAGTTTTCCGAACTGCTTGGGTATTATCTTCATCGAATATTTTGAGGCCAGCTTGTATTTATTCCAGTCATCTTTTGGGTAATCTCGTAATATTTGTATTCTGTTCACCTTGCTCATGGTGGTTGAATATTTTGGGTACGAGATATTATTCCTTTAGCCTGTGAATTAGAATATATGTATTTGGCCTAGTGTTGGTGTATTTGATGATTTTGGATGTTTGGCTCGTGTGGTAGTCAGGAACTTTGTACCAAAGATTTATTATAGTGGAATATTTGGTGGTGGTGGTCCCGTGGTTTTTCCCCAATTTGGGGTTTTCCACGTAAATCTTGTGTCCCTTGTATCTGTTATTTATTTTTGGCTATTTCGTACCATCTCGTATTTGCGCTCTTGTCGGTCCTGTGATTTTATTTGTCACAGGTAGTGGGATTTTTCCCAACAGATTCTTCAACCACCATTGTTCTTTTATTCAAAACTTTGAACGCTTTGCTGGTAGCTGAATATCCTAGAAAAATTCCTTCATCTGCACGCTCATCAAAAGCTTTTAGATGCAATTTATCATTAATCTGAATAAAACATTTGCATCCAAAAATA